GTAAACTTATCTCTGAAGGACTGCCAAAGCTCATTAACATCCTTATTGTTTATGTTGTCACTTGGGAGATCGAAGTCTGTATTTTTCAAGTCCTTGAGGAATTTATCTGGGTTGTAATTTGCATAATTTCGAAATGTTTTTTGTTGCAGAGGAGCTTTTTTCCTATTTATCTTTCTGACACAGAAAGACATTTCATGATCACTTAAGCTAGTACCGGTGATGACCCCAGAGTCTTTAATGTTTTGCCGATGGTTTGTAGCAATCAGAGCAATCATAGTTCTAGATTCCGCGGTGACTCTTGTAGGCTCCTTGACACAAAGTTGGTGTTCCAATCTCCAAATAAAACCACTTCTTGACCCTTTGAGACAGCAGTGTTGAGAGTGTTATTCATTTTTTAGCTGAAATCTTTATCATAATGGTTAGATGAGTTTGGAGGTCGGTAGAAACAACCAGTTAGAAAACTACGCGACTTTGCAAGGGAAACTTCAAGCCAAAGGCCTTCTATGGGCCTTTCAAGATCTTCTCTTCTGTCAGCCACAACATCATTGCGAACGTAAAACGCTATGCCTCCACATTTCCCCTGTCTGTCCTTTCTAAACAGTTTATAACTGTTTAGTTAGTGTGAGCTTTTTTCTGTAACACGAGTGCTAACAGAAGTAATAGAGGCCCCTCGAACAAGAAGAGTAATATCATCCACAAACATAGTAGGATTCATGGTAGCTCTGACAGGAAGTCACTAATGTGAATAATAAAGAAAAGAGGTCTTAAGATACTGCCCTGTGGTGTACCTACAGAGACTAGAAGTGCTTCAGATAGAGTGCCCTTAGACTGGGTTTTCTTAGAATGCCTGGATAGGTAAGAGTAAAACCAAGCCATGGTACTTTTTCTGGTACTTTCACTCTTCTTGTCTTCTCTCTGTCAATGTCACTGTTACCTTCTTTACTGTCACTATCTTTGTTGCTGTCTCAGTCTGTCTGTGTCACTGTCACTTTATCTTTATTCCCCTGATGATGTCACTATCACTCTTACTCTGTCACTAGGACTTCTATTGTTACTGTCACAGTTAATATCACTCTCACTGTTGCTGACATTCTCACTGTTACTGTCATTGTTAGAGCTGTTGTAACTCTCCTACCTCTGTTGCTGTTACTTTGCCTTTATGTCTGTCTGTCTCTTTGACTGTCTTTTTGTCTGTCCATGTGACTGTCACTGTCACTTTTATTATCCATCTCAAACACAACCACTTTTACTATTTATGTCACCAGTAATGTCACCACTTCCTTAACTGTCATCATCATTTTTACTGTTGCTATTCTGTGAATGTCATTGTCTTTGTCCCTGCTTCAGTAATTGTTTCTGACCCTTGACCCTTAAGAGTCAAGTCAATTAAAAATGCTTTAATATGTTAAAAAAAAGACAATTTAAAAATAGGGGCAATGTGTGTTTTAAAGTGTTTCTCATAGTGTTTAGAATGTTAGAATTGGAACTGTATACTGTGTAATCCTTCATCCACAACAAAATGTCCCTGGCGATTTTTATGCCTTGCAACTCTTGAAGTAACCCAGATGAATATGGAATGAAACGCATTTTTATAGTCAAAAAAATGATCCTGACTGTCTTATTATTAGCAAGTGCTCTTCTCCAATCGTCAGTCATTTTAACCAGTAACAGTTCTGTAAGGTGACCTTCTTGTGTAGTAAAACCATGGCTGAGGGATTGGTTAGAGTCGAACTGTTGTGAAGTTTGGGCCAACCTTTGCCTTATTGGGGCACATTGACGCAGAGAGGCACACGCAGCTACTGTGCAATCAACTGAATCTACTTTATTGCTTGAATCAATGTTCTTATATACATAATGGTAGCTACCTCATTTCTGATATATAGTACAGAAGATAAATGGAGTTTCCATAGGGATAAACAACTTCATCACCGCATAACCACAATTTCCAAAGCATTATCTTCTAACTGGCTGAAGGTACCAAGGGAGGTGTTCCTATACCGGGTTACTGGAGTTTGTGACAGGTTGGCAGCAGAGACTGGCACCATGTCTTCCTTAGCCTATGCCACCACTTGGGCCAACAAGAGATCATGTTGCTCAGCAAAACCTGGAGATGGTTCAACTACACCCAGTAATAGTAATAATAATAATAATAGGCTCTATTTAGGGAGGGTAAAAACACTTAAACAATAGCCCTAAGACACTGATGACTCTGTGGCCCTCAAAACAATTACAAAATATAGATGCTACAACTAATAACTATAAAATATACCATATTAAAAAAGTAAAAATATAATAAATAATTCATATATACAAAATTACAGTCTAAGGCACATTGCAGCCTTTTGTTCTGCTAGAAAGGATCTAAAAACATTGTGCTTAAAACTTGCTAGTGAGCCATTATTTCTTATATTAGCATTCATGCAATTCCAGTCCTTTAGAGTCCTAATAGTGAAAGTACAACCTCCTCTTGATTTTCATTTATACTTAGGGCACATCAAATTTATATTTGAATGTCTAGTGGCTCGATTATGAATTTCTGAAGTTCTAACTAATAAATTATTTAAATAACCAGGCATAATATAGTTGTGGACCCACTTATACACTAGTGCACATCTCTTTATTAGATATTGTTTAGTAAAAGGGAGCCAGTTTAGATTATTGAATAATACGACTGATGGTGTAAATCTTTCAGCAGCAAGTATAATGCGTGCCTCTCTTGTCCTTGAGTTGCTGTTTCGATGCTGATTCAGCCTTTGCTTGTATGGCATCTTCTCTCTCGACTAACTCCTCGTAACTCTCTAACTCAGTGATTCCTTTTCCGTTAACTCTTCCACAGAAATCCCACTTGCCTTTTCTTCCTCGCTTCCTCGCTCATCTTTTTGCTGACCTTTTTTCGGAGAAGGTTCCACCGCTCTCGTACAGCTTTTTTAACCTTCAGTTGGACTATCGCTTCCCAAGCCAGTCCACGAGCGGGACTTCCTTTCTTTGCTCCAAAAACATTTCTTGCTAGCATTTCTTTCAGAAAAAGCACATCATGTTCCTCGCTCCACTCCATCGGCCTACAGTGAAACAACGGGATAGATAAGAATGAAGAATCAAAGCAGCTAAAAACCGTGGCCAAGTAATTTTACTCACTTGGATTTTTGCACTTGATCATCAGATGCCGCCATAGTCAGTCTGAGTCTACAGTTGTCCTTTTAAAATGCAATAAATAAAATAAGTTTTATGCCAAAAGCTATTCAAGTAAATTACGAGGTCCATTTACTGCTCCAAGAGTAGCTGAATAAATCTCTACATTGGTGGTGGATGATCCAAGCATCATGTCAATTCGTTTAGTCGATGTTTCTTTAGGCCTTTGTTGAGAAGATTGATAAGCTTGCTCGAGGCGTACGAGCTTCCGGCACCGGTGTCGAGTAAAGCATGCGTTTTTATTCCGTCGATTTATACAAGAATGATGGGATAAACGACTTCTTTGTTTTCTGGTTGATGAGCTGTCAAAACGCCCTCGGTTTTCACTTCCTTTGGTGGGCTACAGATCGAGGTATGGTGTCCCTTACCACAATGTTGACTGGTCGCGGTGCTTTTGCATTCCGATAATTTGTGCGGACCAGTGCAATTGAAACAGAGCCTTTTTGTACCCAGAAATTCTCTGCGTTCTGTTGGTGAGGCAATTTTTGCACATTCTGACGGCTTGTGATCTTCCGCTTGGCAATAAACACATTTTCGGGTCCTTCTCTGGTTTGTTTGGAACATGCGGTCTCGTTTCCGGAATGACTGTGAGTCTTCTAATTTAAAGTTGTCAGTCGGATTTCGGCGCGTCTATTGTCGAAGGGCTTCGGTGAATTTGACAAAATCCCAAGTTTCCCATTCTGGATCGTTTCGGACAAAGTCTTTTCTGATGATGGGCAATTTATCGAGCGTTAAGGAAACCATCCCGTTTACTTCATGGAGCGAGTTTAGTGTTTCCAGGGACTGTACGTTGTGGGATAGTTTGTCGTGAAATTCGTGAATTCGTTTGGGGTTTCCGGTCGAAGTGTATGGCAACTCAAGAATTTCTTTCACTTAGGCTTTCACAATTTCACTCTGCTTTCCAAATCGGTCTTTTAGGATCGATACAGCTCTCTTGTATCCTTCAGCTGAATGGGGCAAGGCCTCGACTGTTTTCCTGACTTTGGCGTCCAGCAATTCTCTTAGGTACGTGAACTTGGTCACAGGCGGCGCATTAGTTTTGTCAATAGTTTCGGAATATTGACCCCAGAATCTCGGTCAGTCGGCGTAAGTCCCGTTAAACTTGGTAATGACGAGCTTGGGTAGTTTCGCTTCATCAACAGGGGTTTCCACGGACGACTTTAGGTTTCCAGCCTTGATTTGAAGGTCTTCCTGTAATTTTAGCTTCGTCTCGTGAAGTTTGATTTCGAACTTCATTTTCTCTCCTCGTTCTTGCTTTTCTGCTTCCATTTTTCTATTTGCCAACCATTCTTCAAGGTTTTCGATATGACCATCCGCTTCGTCTATTTTTTCGGTAATCGCAAGCACTGTCAACTTCAGTGACAAGTTCCTTTAGATTCGTCAATTGTCTCTGTATTGCAGACTGTTTCTCGCCCTTGAGGGCTTGATCAGCCTTTTCTTCAGCTCTCTCAAGTTGTTTTAGTTTGGTTTTGAGTGTAGATTTGGCGTTATCCATGGTTTGAGGTTTAGGCGTTGATGCGTCGGCTTCTCTATTTGTTCGATTCGTCAAGGCATAAGGTAAAATGAGGACGTTTAAATTTTACTCACAAGGTCCCTTCGTGGTCGCTATGTTTCCTGGAATTCTCTGGCCGCAAGAGTGAGTATCCAAGAGAAGTCTCGAGGTGGATTTTATACGTTTAATAAACACAATTGAAGGTACAAGGTCTTCGCAGGTTTGCGAGTGAAGGTTAAGAGAACTGACAACGCATCGGTTTTACGAAATTATTGGGAGTATATTTCCGGACACGTTTACATACTTCTGTAGTCAAAGCTTAGATTACACGATTGCGTAATGTGAGTCCCAGTCCCCGACACACTTTTGAATTGTTTCTTGCTACTGGAACTAGTGGAAGTTTCTTTTTTTTTGATAACAGCTTTCTGTTGTCAATTAACTTGGGACCAGGTATAGCTTCACTAACCGTACTAGCTCCAGCTCTGGCAATGGAGTTATAAACTTGATCCGTTGATAATCCCTTACCGATCAGATTATCGACCTTTGAGAAAAGACTGGGATATTTCCTGTAGTATTGGCCACGGTTGGTTTGGTAGCATTCCCGTGCCGAGGAAGGTCGAAGTGTTGATCCGCCCCATCTGCCTATTGGTACGTGATAACATAAAAGGGCCTTGGTTCTTTTTCAGCATAACCTTTAATTGTGGTGATAGCACGGGAGAACTTAGGATTGCTCTACTCCCGCTTCAACTCATATATTTCGTTTGCTGGAACGATTTCTTTCCTGTAACCTTTAGAGTCTCTTATATAGTGACATACCATACGCCATTTCCATCTTTGTGGGATGGGCGCGACCCCTCCTCATTGTACATATACACATTGTACACATACAATTGTTACACATTGTAACACTGCCTTTGGAAATATATGCTCCATTGTCATCAGTTTTGGCAGATGACATTGGAATTTCTCTCATATCCAAAGTGAACATTTTATTTTCGCGTATTCCGGAGGGTTTCTGTTTTAAGTTGAAATCTTCCGGATTTTGTAGAAGGATGTTGATCAGACTTTGGTGATCAACGTTCACACTATTTTCAGTATTTTCATTTTTCATTGTCGGCTTTGTTTCTTCTCTCTTGCTATTTAAAGATAGACAGTATATTCTATTTCAAAAACAGGTTTGATCATACCTTTTATCGGTGGCACCCAACGAGCCAAGAGCCTACGAGAAACATTTCTAGGCTCCTTGTGGTCCGTCGGATGAAAACCAAATTACGTGACTCTGAACAATCCCGAATCGTATAAATTTTACAAGAATTTTATTCGATCTGAAACAATAAAATAAATAACATTCCTAAACAACAGAACCTAACCAAAAATAATAGACCTAAGCACATCATATAATCTAAAAAACACGAACAGATTTAACCGCTAATTACATGCGGTCTTACAGAAATTACACTAAGGCCATCCCAATTTAATGCTTCGTTTCCCATCGCCCGACCGACCCATTTTTTTGGAAAAGTAAAAAAAAAAAATTCTTTATTCACTAGTCAGAGGCAAGTACTTTAATTAACAAGAACATGATCTTGTCGTATTTACACCAATTGTCATAAATTAACATCGATACAACGTTTTTAAAGCCTTTTTAGACATTTGACAGTAGTTTTAATATACATCTTTTACCATCCGATTATATCTTCAAAACCAAATGTAAGATTTAACATGCAAAAGTAACTGGAACACAAACGGAATTTTTCTTGGAAAAGAACATTTCGTCGAGACAGCTGTCTTCATTAAACAGTAACTTTCTTACAGTCTTGCTTGTCAGTTTCAATCTCATAATGGGGGCGACTGATGATCATAATAATATATATAATTTAATAATTTACCAATTTATATAGCACGTATTTGCATGTGCTGATCAATAGCGCTTTACAATCATATGTTTAAAAGAAAACGAAAATACATTACCGTGAGAATAAAATAAACTAAGTTACAAACTATAAAAAATACTTCTTAAAAAGATAGGTTTTAAGTCGAGATTTAAAACTGTTAAGTGATGTTGCTCTGACGAAGCTCCACAGGTAGCTCATTCCAGAGTTTCGGAGCTGCTGCTGAGAATGATCTTGCTCCCAATGTTGTAAGCATCTTTCCCTTGGGATGGTCCAATAAGAGCTTACCAGTAGACCTAAGATTATATAATGAATTCGATTTTATACTAATAAGATCACTAAGATAAGTTGGCGCTAGGCCATAAATACATTTGAAAGTCAAAAGTAAAATCTTATAGTCAATACGCAAAGAAACTGGCAGCCAGTGCAGCTCATAAAGCGCCGGTGTAATGTGAGAAAACTTTCCAAAGCCAAGAATAAGTCTTGCTGCTGCATTTTGTACACGCTGTAATTTAGCGATCTGCACATTTGGTAAGCCAAACAATAAACCATTACAATAGTCAAGATGGCTGGTTATAAAAGCATGAGCCAAAGTAATTAAAGAATCTCTTGACAGGTATTTCTTAATACGTCTCAAGTTATGTAAATGATAAAATGCCGCATTACAAGCCTTGTTTATATGATCAGTCATGCTTAATTTGTTGTCAAACCAGGATCCAAGATTTCTAACACATGGGCTTGGACTGATACGATTATTGCCCACAGTTATGGAACACGAATCTAATTTATCAAGCTGTTGTCGTGTGCCGACTAACAAAAACTCCGTTTTATCATCATTGATCATCAACCGATCTTGAATCATCCATTTCCTCACCGCGTCAATGCTCTTTTCCATAGCTTGTATAGCATCAGCTTGAGCAGTGTTGCCGAGTGGTTTAAAACTCAGATACAGCTGCGTATCATCAGCGAAACAGTGAGCATCAGAAAGATAATGTTCCACGATCTTAAACAGCTTGGACGCATATATTATGAATAGCAAAGGCCCTAAACATGAGCCTTGGGGTACCCCGCAGTTCAAGTCAAAAGGACGAGAAAGAACTCCATGTACAGAAACGCGCTGACTTCTATCAGACAAGTACGATCTAAACCAATTCAGAGCAGTCCCACGTATGCCAACCTCGTCAGATAGCCTCTCTAAAAGTATTCGATGATCAACAGTGTCAAAGGCAGCACTGAGATCCAATAAAATTAACATAGTGAAATGTTGAGAGTTCATCTTTAACAAAATATCGTTCATCACCTTGATAAGTGCAGTTTCAGTGCTATGGAATTGCCTGTAAGAAGATTGAAGCGTAGGAAAAATAGCATTTGAAACCATGTGATCGTAAACTTGATTAAAAACGACTTTTTCAGTCAACTTGGATACGTATTGTAAGTTACTAACTGGTCTGTAATTTTTGTACAGCAAATCCAATTCATGAAAGTTTAGTTCTAACACGAAGTTGCATTCAAGGTTTCTTCTTCTTTCCGGCGGATGCTGTTACTGTTTTCGGGGCGGAGACAACAGGCTTGTCACCCTTTTCCGAGCAGGCCCAACAAACAGGGTTAACCACTTTGTATTGGCGCTTCATCTCTTCATTCACTAGTGCATCGGGTTCTGTGCTTGCACATCTGCAACAGATCAGGTCAAAGTTTTTGCACGAATAATACTGCTTTTCCACTGGATCACTGCATGAAATATCCTGGCGTACGATGAAGATTTCTGCTTCTGATTGGAGGTCCGCAAGTGTACGTAAGGGTATCTACAGCCTGATGGAATTGATCCGTGCTTGCACGAGGCGGTTTAGTTGGAGCATACACGCACCCCCGCTTGCCACAGCTCACACATTCAACTGCGTCACGCACCTTCTCTTTTGTGAAGTAAGCCTTTCCAGACTTGTTCTCTTGGGTCTTTGCCCCAGGACGATCAACCTCTACGGTGTCTTGGCCAAAGATGTCATCAAAGGCTTTGTAATGCTCCTTGGCTGCATCCGTAAACTGAGGGTCTGGAAGCCACGTCAACTGTCTAAACTCGAGGAGTGGAAGGCGTGGGGGACAGCAAGTCTTACAAACAGGCATTCTAATGACCTTGCGGATGAAGTTAACGTTGACGCCATCAGCATCTTTAAGTTTAAGGAGCCCTTCAACAGATGGTGCTTGTTGCTGTGATCAGTTAAGGATCCATTTGTGCAGATGGCATTCTTCACTTCCTCTCGATGTTGATCAGATGGTGGAGCAGCTAAGCATTTCTTTACTTGAAACGAATATTGCCGTATTCTGCAATGTTCCTTATACCATGCCTACAGCTTTTCTTTCTTCAAGAGAATGGCCTTTTGAGTTTTGTCCACTTTAATGGACTCGTCAATTTCGTGAACTGCAAGAAACTGCTCGTGGATCTGCTCGTCACTGGCAGGTGGTAAAATCTGAAACTGGCTACCTTTCAGAGACAATCGGCTAAATCGGTTGTTGAGTATAGACAACGGCTTCTGCAGGCTGTCATTGATGACCGCTTTTACGTCAGGATTCTTTTCAGCTGCAGCCCGCATCTCCTTCATGTTGGAGGGAGTCTTGATTAATTCCTCCTTCTCTTTACTCATTTCCTCCCGAGAAAGTGAAACCCCATTAAGTGCTAAGTTCAACACAGACATTATACGCTCTGTTGGATTTGCCCACGAGTTACCAGGACAAGTGTTGATTCCTACGACCATATCTAGATTGTGCCTCTGGAAAGTTGAGATGGACGCTAACTGTGTCTGTCCATGGTGAACATTATGATCCGGACCTCCATCAGTGATACTAGCAACAATCGCCTTCCCTGAAGAACCGATGAGATGTGAATTTTCTGTTGCATGTCAGAGTGCTGAAGACGGCTGGAAAATTGAATCTTTAACTGCAACATACACCTGTAAAAATGTAAAGGGAATTAATTATTGCATTAACTGCCTGCCCATTGAGATTTGTTTAAGTACCTCAGCTTGATTTCGTCTAAAGATATAACGATATACTTTTTAAACAGACAAGAATGTAGCTTTTGCGACGTAAAAGTTACTACTACTTAATCTATAATAATTGATTTGTGTTTGCTGGTACCTCTCTTCCATACTTAAAACGCCTTTGGAACTGAGGCGGCTCATTCAAATAATGTATTATTAACTACGTCTACATGTACCTGTCCTTGATAAAGTGAGTCACCAGGGTCGCTGGGTATTTCTGGGATTAAAGTCTCACTGGGGGTCACATGAATGCGGCAGAAGTCGTGATCTAACGCCATGGGCCTTGTCGACTCTGGACCGGTCACAAGCACTCTTCTTCCTCTGTCTGCTGATGCCAAAGGACAGTGTGGTTCCCCAATATTAATGAAATGCTTGTCGTCTTCCATAAGCAAGAACGAGTGGACTTTAAACTTCACCAGGAACGATCTCAGGTACTTTGCCAAAGCTGCACAGTAGTGTACGTCTGGATGGATATGCCTAATTTGCCTAGTTTGAACATGAAACCGAACATTGAACCTTCCAGTGTACTGGGTCGCAGAACGTGAACTGGGGTCTTTTGGCCAAAACTGATAGCGAACCCAGGCCTCAAATGGAATTGGGGTTTCTTCGGGTAACTTTTCTTTCACTTGTTTCATCAAATCAGGCACAGTTATGGCTACGGGCATGTATCCCACATCTCCATGTCTCCTTTCTTGAGCTGCCATGTGCTCCTCTAGATAAGACCCTAAGGCTTCCCAGAACACCTCGTACTTCTCTGGACGACCCTCATTCATTTCTCGTAAATCGACAGCTAGATCTGGATCCTCGGAATTAATTGCCACTGCCATTCTGATGTCGAGAGCGTTTGAAATGGCATTGTCATTTGCTGAACTATCGTCAGTAAGAAAACGATAATTAGCCCTTCGAATTGCAGGCGTAATCTTGGCCACATTTCCAAACCTGCTTCGAAATTCTGCCTTCATAGCTCTGGTATGGAACGTTGGCATATCTTGTTTGAGAACTTCGGCGACTCTGTCTGACAGTTGTCGATCTGTACCGTCATTGGGGACCTTCCAAAAGAAGACGCATGTTCTCCAACTTCCTCCAGGAGAATACTTCAAAACGTCAAATGACACGCCGGGGAGACCGTTTTTCAAAAGAGTAGATACGTAATGATAGCGGGCATCTTTCGTGGCATCATCTCCAATTAAATCGTTGAGAAAAATAGGATCATAACATGGTCTAGTTTGGATTTCATGGAAAAGGTCATTGTAGCGCTCTAAAACTGGCCCTGAACCTTTTGAAAGGACAGTTGTGATAGTTGCGTCTGTGAATGGGCTGCGAGGTAAATTAAGGCTCATTTGATTTGCACTTATCTTCTCGTTATTCCTTTCCAACATACAATGATACTTCTTCATACTATTTCCAATCTCTTCAAGATCCTGGAATAGAACAAATAACTTATCGCTCAGCACAAGCCCTATTAAACGTGTTTTACGTCATGCCATCTATTTTCACCGCTAAGGTTATTTTTAAGTGGAAGCAACGCACCTACCTGTTTAAAAGTTTTCCACTCAGATCTTGCAAGCCACGCAAATTGCAGCATGTCATAAACCTCTGCTACTTTCTCTAACAATTCTTCATGTAATATCTGAGGTCTTGCTTTTTTCTTCCCTTTCCAGTCATTGTATCTAAATACAGATATTTTCATAGCATTTTTTATTTATCAAGACATTCTTCATTGGACTGTAAACATCAAAGACAACGTCCTGATTATGGGAATCATAATAATATAAACTTACCCAATGAAACTCTGGGGTGATGTCGCCAACGCCACGTTATCAATATCATCATACAACCCCATAATTAGTTTTGGCATCTTTAAGCTTCTTTCGATGAATTTTGGAATGTGAGGATCCAAATACCAAGCTATGTTGGTAAGCTTCTTGAAAAACGCAACACCTTTTGTAAAAAATAACATATTTATATGTATTACATAAATATATACGAGACACATTTGAATTCGAGGTATGAGTCGAAACATATTAAATCCTTCAAACGCCCGCAACATTGCGCGCCATTTTTGTGGATATGACAGTTAAATGCAACATGATAAAAGAAACAGGAAAAATAATATATTTATTTATACTGTTCAAGAAATTTTACAAGAGAGAGGCATCAAATCAGTGTGCATTCACTGAAATTCTAACAGCCGCAAACAAACTGAAAAAACAAACCGTATCAACGGTCTGCACACGTTTTGCAAAGTATGAACGTTTAAAGACCATTTAATTAGTGATTATAGTAATGATTGTAGCTCTAGCTCTAACCACTCACCATTTTCTGTGTCAGACAAGACGTCAGATGAGTCAGACACGACAACCGAGTCTTCCCGCGTGGCCGCCATCATCGACTATATGCATAGACGTGTGTGGATCTGTAATGCATCATGCCGTCACCTGGAGTCATGACGAGTGACGCGACTTTTCCACTTCATTCATGACAGATGACCTTGTTTGTCACTCGATAAGCTATTGTACCATATTTTCTCTTTTGATGTAACCAAAGAACAAATGGAGAGATAACTATACTTGACAAATAACACCTCGTTAAGGCCCTGCTTCAGGAATAAGTTCTATTAATGATTTACTTTTTAGTGGACCGTAGTTACTACAAACGGCGCGTCACAGCACGAATGTAGACGAAAATTACCCTAGCTGGCCTCAAGATGGATGTTTACGGAGAACAAAGCTGATGAAACTTTTCATGTGACTTATACATATCTTTATTCGATGGCCGGCCGAAGAGACATTGATCGGACTTACAAATGTCTCTCTGAATGGAGATTCTTTCTCGTGAAAAGCTGCATTTGCTCATTTATTTTGTCCTGTTTTTGACAACCTTACGAATGTGTTACCGGAGTATCAAACATGATCAAAGGTATTCTGGGTAGTTGTGAGTCGTTATGTTTGCTATTCATTATGCTTTTCAATTTTTTTTTGGTTTCTTTTGTTGTGGGTCGTTTTGAGATCGTCCTCGGTCATTTGAAGATCGTTGTGGGTCGTTGTGGGTCGTTCCGGGATTTAGTGACTACCACACGCATATACCTCCAAATCGTGTGCATATCATCCAGATTCCGAGTGCTGCACCGTCTTTCATGGGAATTTGAGCAATCCGAAATCCCCTGAAGATACACTGTTATACTTGTAGGTCATCTGTTACATGTTGAAGTCAGCTGATCTACACGAAACTATCCTTACACCGGTCATTTGTCATAAACATGTACGTTATCACGATGGCGTGACGCCGTATTTCTCCAAAGAAGACGAGAAATGGATATTTTTAATAGATGTCAGCACATTTCCGCTTTCTGAAGTAAAAATAACCCAAAAAAAAGAGGAAAACTTCGATTGAACGCTTGTAAACACTGAGAATCTGAGAGTATAAATCGTAACTTGTCAGCGGCAGTAATACATGTAAAGAATTACGGTCGTTTCGCCTACGGGTCGTTTCGCCTACGGTCTGTTCGCCTACGTCTCATATGTCAGTTCGCCTACGTGTTAAAACATGTGTTACAAGAGTTGATTCATCTACTTATGTGCGATCGCGCTCGGATACTAGTCGGTTGATTCAATTCCTAGAGCGTGACTCAAAGTCAAGCCTATCGAAGTTAAATAATTGTAAATAAGGAGCGTTCGTTTACCTGAAAATTTCCGTTTTAATTTGATTCATCTTCGTTCGAGTAAAAACAAGTTATGTAAATATCGCATATTCTGAGTTGCGAATTACACGGTTCTCCAATTACACTCAGTAACCATGAAGCGTACTCATTTCGCGACATTTTAATTCTAATACACTTATTACATGCGGGGACGTTTAGGTTATCCGAGTGACACCTGCCCCTTAAACAACAGATCATTCGCGTTTAATTCCACAGGGCGCAGAGGAGTTCATTGAGACGGTAGACGAGGCGAAAAGTTTACCGAGCCGATCGTACGATTCGCCTGTGTTAACTGTATAATCGACAATCAAACCGTCAGCGATCATAAAATTTAACTACAAAATATGTTACTCCTCCGCACTCTGTGTTAATTCTAATACACTTATTACATGCGGGAACGTGTGGGTTGTCCTAGTGACACCCGCCCCTTGATAAAATAATTCACATGTAACCCTTGCTATCTATTTCGCCTTAAGTTCGAAATTCCAGCCTTATTCTACCTAAACTTAGCTACCCTAAATTAATGTGCAACTTAACCTAAAGGAAAGCCAACCGAAGAAAATTTAGCCTAATTTTCATACTTGACAATCTTGAAATCATAAACTTAACCGGCTTGTTTTAACTAAACTCGACTTAATTTCGATACTTATCGACTTTGCGATCATAAGTTCTACCTAAATTAATGTGTAACTTAGCCTAAACTTAGCCTTAACTATTACACTTCTGACGTTTCTGTTTAAAATATCAAAGTTCTCTATTTCAGTCTTACTGGCAACGAGCAAGTCCATTCAACCGGCTTATTTTAACTAAACTCGACTGGGTCTGTGCCAGAACGCTGAGGCGCACGAACATCGGTCTGATCTCATAGTGAGGGAGGAACGGGAGGGCCATTACTTTCCTGATGAACCGGTACGTTGCTTCATCGTTACTGTATGCAGTTTGGAGGCCAAGCTCTTGCACCTGGCGTAGACAAAAAGTTAAAATTTTTGACTTTAAGGAAAACGTACGACTAACGAACGGACTGCTAAAGCTGATGATACACGGTTGACAGTTTGTCCTAACGCTATAACGGTTGACGCTTACGTTCTAACAGTTGTATATATTTGTTTAATAAACTTTAATAATCAGTTTATTGCCTTTTATTCACCTTTTTTTTCAGCAGCGAAAAAAGAGTGCTTGACATGAACTAACCTTTCTCCAAAGAGCCTGGGTCCAGTGGAACACGCAGCCCTGAAGCTGCACTGCTGGCAGGACGGATCTAAGCGCCTTCCAGACAGCCCTTTCAAAGTCTGGGGTGACCTGCTGGACACTGGTCTGAATTGGCAGGATGCGGATTATTTTCTTCATTACCTAATTTTGTGAAGAGAAAAAGAAATGATGTTATACATGCCAGAAATTTTATTGCACTATGCTTTAGGATACATATATAACTCTAAATAGATAATTGCCTTTTTGTAGTCTTTCGTACTCTTCCTGGACATGAGGACGAACACCAGTAGTACTTGTTTTGCGTGATCGCCGTGTCAGTGTCGTCTCACAGGAGAGGCTCTTCGATGGAAGATTCGATGATGCCGGGACTTGGCTCTAAGGGAAAAACGATAGTCCAAGGTTATACAATGTAGGTCATCAGTTCATCAGTTGTCAAGTAGTATTGTCTATTTTGTTTAACTTCAGAGTTGACTAATAGGTAAAACTAGCGTTTCTAGTAAACACTTAGTATATCTTTGGGGCCTCTTTGGGAAAAACACAAAACTGTGTGTATATAATATATATAGTTAATATATAATATAATATATAATAATATATATATACAATATATATATATATAGTTACCTTCCTCAATCCTTGTACCCGATGTAGGGCTTGGCGGGGCAGAGAACATAGTCACTTCCATGACTGTTCCGAGATCTGATGGCGATGAAACGGGTAAAGACAACTCTGGTAGAGCAGAAGGCGTACTCGAGTCTGTTGGTTTTTAAGCACATATACTAGCTATTAGTTACTTCAATGATTAAATCATTCAATATAGCGCATGAAATATTTTCGCCTTAAAATTACACAGTGCTGGAAATCAACCTTAAGAGATAACAAAAAAATTATATACCTGTATTGATCATCGAACTAGCAGCAACCGGTACTGGTGTCTTGTCTGTGCAATAGATGCAAGTCCATAAAATGTCCTGGCCGGTCCTTACTGCCTGTCGATATGTGGCTCGGTCAACGCCAGTGTGACAACGACGGTGTTGCCATCTGTCGCATCCGCCGCAGAGTAGGGCCTCTTGGCGGGAGGTTACGATTTCAGCACAAAAGACACAGTAAAATTCCTCCATGATATCGATGATTATTAGCGTAGATTGACTTTTCGAATAGTGTTGTTCTAACGAACTGGTGACATGAGAAAAAAATACTAGGGCTTTTATACTGTCAATGCCTTCTCCGATGGATCGAAATCGCAGCGTTGTGATTGGTGAATGCTAATATTATTTTGTAATCCTGTGCTAATTGATCTATGTTAAACAATGTCCTTTGGAATTGATTGTGTTAATGGAAAAGTCCCACCTTCTTTTGTGTAGGTTGTTACTTTAATCTAAACCTTGGTTATTTGAACCAAGTCCAAACGTGAACACGAACGTTTATTTATCTTACTTAGTCCGAAGTATATGAATATGATTACTGATTTAACAAGCCGCAACATCGAAATAAAAAGTTACATCGAGCTGTGTAGTGTGAACAAGCTAATTTTGTGGTAAGTACTATGTATGCTAATGAAAACTCTCACCTCCCTTAGTATGAGCGCCGCTCAAGTCACAAGTCTACACAAAGGACGCTTTAAGTTTTTATATTATTTGTCTGTTAGATGAAAGTACGCAAACAGAGTAACTCAGAATACCCGGACACATTACATACATAAACTAGTTTATAGAGGTAAAAGATTCAACGAGTCGCCCGCCAAATCGACGCAGAAATTGAACCGACCGTCAAGTCAAGCCGATGCTAATTTCGTATATGTTAATGAAAAGTCTCACCTTCTTTAGTTTAGTTGCCGCTCACGCTTCACAAGTCTACACAAAGACCGTAAACAGTGGTTTGTTTACTGCTCTGCTCGCGCTTTACACGACCACACAAAGACCGTAAACGGTGGTTAATTTCATTTTAATACACATCTTAATGCTCAGTTTTACAATCGCACGTTTCTTAAATCATTTTAAGCAAAATATCTTTCACACATTCGTAGACGACCGGGTTCCGCCATAATAAAGTTTTTAAAAGCATTCGAACTTAGATGTTTTAGCGCGTTGTTTTTCTAGCCATCGAGGATAGAATGGAAGGAATAATACAAGGAACTTTTAATAATTCCGATTTCGTAGGCGAACTGACATATAAGACTTAGGCGAATCGACTCTATTCGTAGGCGAACAGACCGTGGGCGAAACGACCCGTAGGCAAAACGACCGGATACCCATGTAAAACCTAGTTGCAACAATAGCAATTTAAACGACACAGGTATCTCCTCACAAAGAGCAGATTCGGGCAGTCATTATTTCCTTGTGACAGGAACTAAGATATTTCGAATCATCTGAAAACTGTCAGAAAACTGTCAGAAAATTTGCATAAGATATGATGAGGAGAGACTTTTCACCGTCGCAATGCAATCGAGTCAATCAATGTTTCCTTCCATGTCTTGATAAAGAAAAAAATCATAACAAAGTTTGAAATAAAAGATTTAATGAAATCATAATGTCATAATTGTTCCAAGGGAAAATGGTTCTCGGACGAATGATTGGATACGGAATCGTATAATCTTTATATTGTTTTATTCGATCTATAATGTAGTGTCTTATATTGCATTACGAGTATGCGCACTGGGTTATTATTACGAGCAGGATTAGAGAAGTGGAAGTTTCCATTAAAAGAGTTCAGAATTATAATCGAGGATTCCATAACTGGCGACGAGGATATCCCAAACGAGCTCACCTACAACTACAACTCAATTTACAGTCATTTCGAAACAACTACATCGGATAAACAATGAAAAAAAACAACATTCTTCTCACCACCACGTGCGCTGGCCGCCATCTTGAAACTGTTTTGAGGTGAAAATCCAGACTTCTCGACTCAGTTGAACAATAATATACACTCGCCACGGAAGATTCCCCGGGAAAATTGCATCACAAGATTACACCGAACGATTACACAACTGCTGAAGCGAAATGGCGAATATTTTACCTCCATTTCCTCCATTCTCCGTACATGAAGACGACGCTTCAGTCGGTCCGCGTTGGAAAAAATGGTTGAAGCGTTTTGAAATGTAACTCGCTGCTCATGAGGTGAAAGATCTGACACGCAAGAGAGCGCTGCTACTATATTCCGCTGGTGAGGAAGTCGCCGACATTTTCGAAACACTTCCAGACCAGGGCGAAGAGAAAGAATACGACAAAGCCATAACCGCTTTGAATGCTTACTTCCAGCCCAAAGTAAACAAGACGTACGAAATTTACATGTTCAGAAATGCTACCCAGAATCCTGGTGAACTGCTAGATTCCTACTGCACACGGCTCAGAAACCGGCTTTGCATCATGGTTTGCAGCTTGACATGGTAGACACTCTCTTACCATTTCTTCAACCATTTTATCTATCCCTGGAAACCAGACTGAATCTCGCAGAAAACGCTTCGTCCTGACGATGCCTTGATGTCCACTGTGGGCTAACATAATCACTCGCTGTCGTAGTCTTCCAGGAACTATTATGCGGGTTCCTCTCAGAATTACGCCATGTGATACTGACAGCTCCTGTTTGATCTGTTGGTACTGACCGACATCCTTTCCGACTTCGTGCCACTTTTGAGTTGTTATCACCCTTGCCAGGTTCTGCAATGTTTCATCTGTTGCTGTCGCATCTTTGATCTCTTGAAGGGTAACGGCAGATGGCATAGCATTAGTGATCACAAAGTTGACATAGGCATCAACTCTCGATAAATGACGGGGGGTCTGTGACTGTTTGGGATCAGGATGACGACTCATGTAATTGGCTGGGTTGTCTGCTCCTGGCTTGTAAACAACTGCAGTTTCATATGGCTGTAGGCGCAACTGTAGTCTTTCAAGTCTCGCAGTTGCCTTGCAGGTGGGGTTGTTGAAAATTGTTTCTAATGGCTTGTGATCTGTGATGACGCGAAAAGATGATCCATACAAGTACAGGTGAAAGTGTTCAACTCCCCAGATCACTGCAAGGGCCTCTCTTTCGGTTTGACTGTAACGGCTTTCGCAATCAGTGAGTGAGCGACTTGCATAAGCTATAATGTTCATTCCTCCATCTGCTGTTAATTGTGTGAGAATTCCTCCCAGTCCAACAGGGCTGACATCAACGATCAGCTCTGTTTCCAACGAGGGGTTGAAGTACTTCATGACTTCTGGAGTTGCCATGCGAGCCTTAAGACAAACAAATGCATGTTGTTCTTCTGGGCCCCACACCCATTTGGCATTTTTGTGTGTGAGTTGACGGATTGGAGCGGAAATGGGTGCAAAGTCCTTGATGAAGCGTGCAAGGTACTGGGCCAAACCAAGAAAACTGCGTGCCTCAGTTGCATTCTTGGGAGCACTGGCATTGATGAGGGATGAAATTTTCTTGTCGTCTGCACTGATGCCGTCTGCAGAGATGTGATGGCCAAAGAAGTCAATGGATGATTGGTTGAACAGACACTTGTCAGGGTTTGCAGTTAGATTGTTTTCTCTCATTCTCTGAAGAACAGCTCGTAGAGCCTCGTCATGATCAACTTGGTTCTTGCCAAACACTATTATGTCGTCAGATATGTTTCTTGCACCTTCAACTCCCTGTAATACCTCTTCTATAGACTTCTGAAATATTTCAGCTGCTGAGTTGACTCCAAAGGTGAGTCGCTTGTATCGAAATAAACCAATGTGCGTGGCAAAAGTAGAAATGCCTCGAGAATTTCCTTCCAGCTCAAGTTGGTGATAGCCTTGGTTTAAGTCTATCTTGCTGAACACAGTGGATCCATTCAGATCAACGATCAGGTCTTCTACAGTAGGTACTGGGTGTCGTTCCCGTTCTATAGCCTGATTGGCCGCTCTCATATCAACGCATATGCGTATTCCTGTCTTCTTTGGAACTACCACTATCAGGGACACCCAGGGAGTCGGTCCTTCAGCTCGTTCTATTATGTCAAGTTCCTCTAGATTCTTGAGCTCAGCCTCGACTTGTTCGCGAGAGTGTCTACCATGTCAAGCTGCAAACCATGATGCAAAGCCGGTTTCTGAGCCTCTACAAATGTCCCCACTACCACAAGGTCCGTGGCAAGAGCTATCCATGGATTTCTGTGGTCCTTTTCCAAATGGAGACTACTTGTTAGTCGTGACTGATGACTTCAGCAGATATCCAGAAGTTGAGATCCTGAGGTCAACATCAGCAAAAGCAGTAATTCCACACCTTGACAGTATCTTTGCTAGACAAGGAATTCCCAACATAGTAAGAACTGACAATGGTCCACCTTTCAACAGCGAAGATTTCCAAAAGTTTGCCACTCACTTTGGTTTCACTTATCGCAGAATAACTCCTATGTGGCCCAGAGCAAATGGGGAGGCGGAGAGACTGATGAGAACACTAGAGAGGGCAATTAGGACAGCCGTCATAGAAGGCAAGAACTGGAGGCAAGAGCTGTTCACCTTTCTTCGGCAGTACAGGGCAACCCCCCACAGCACCACAGGAAAGTCTCCATCTGAATTGTTGAATGGACGAAAACTCAAGTCCACACTACCTCAGATACAACACAATCTGGCACCTCAAGAGGTTAGACAAACCGATGCCAAGAGAAAGACAGAGATGAAAGAATATGCGGATAGGTGCAGCCATGCCAAAAACACATACCTAAGTGTTGGTGACAAAGTATTGCTAAAACAACCCAAGCAGAACAAGATGTCCACACCATTTAAACCTGAGCCACTTGAGATAAAAGACAAGAAAGGAAGCATGATTACGGCCCAAAACGCAGAACACACTGTAACCAGAAATGCGTCATTCTTCAAAAAGCTGCCTTCCAGCGTACCAGTACAACTCACTCCAAGTGACGAGGAAGAAAAATTTACACCCAGTATTGAGACAGCTGAAGCAGCTGATGTAGCTGAAGGATATCATGAAGCAGATGAAGCAGTTGAGGATGAACCAGAAGCACCACCTGCACTTCGCAGATCGGAAAGAACAAGAAGGGTGCCTGAACATTTCAAGGACTATGTGACTTGAACATTTCAAGAACTATGTAACTTGAACATTATGTGGACAGATAGTCTAAGGAAACGATATGTTGAGTTTTGTTTTTGTT